AGAGAGAGAGAGGGAGAGAGAACAATGAACAAAGACAGAGTCGGAAACTAGACGATGTACAAAGACAGAATCGATATCCAGTAAGCTCCCATGGGCCACTAACTAACCAGTCTCCCTTTTGGTCCGCACCGACCGCTGGTTGGAGAGTTTGGTGTTGTCGGCAAACAGCTGATCGCCAGTGGTCAAAAGGTCAAAGACACAGGCAACGTCACGTGACCCTCCACACGCCTGCTCCGCCTCCTTCTTTCTCTTATCATCCACCTCGTCAAGGAAGGTCGGGGTGAAGTTTCCGTGCTGGAAGTCGGGGAAGTTCTCCAGGTCGCTGTACTCGAACACAGAGGTGGAGGCGGTTATGGCCCCTGTGGGGACGGAGGGGAAAAGAGGGGGGGGGGGTTAACTTTTGATGTTGGTGTTATTGTTGTTGCTGTTGTTTTTGTGAAAAGGGTAAGTGAGCTGGAAGATAGATAATAGTTGTAAAGCGCATTGAGCATGCTGTATAGCGTGGAAGTACGCTAAATAATGCAATAAAAAAAATTTTGGCCAAACAAAATTTATAGAAATATTGTCTGACACGGTCCCAGGGGTAGAGGGGTATTTGTACCGCCGTATGTGTTGTAGTGGTTGGCTCTTCGCTGTCGCACACAGAAAACTTGAGTCAAGTTCTCACACGGAGATGAATTTTTTCGAGTTTTTCCATCTTTCTGATGAGGCGCTGTATAATATCCCATTTAATCCTCTTTGACAGGCAGCCTGGAAGCAGTATGCCTTTTAATAGTGTGTCAGTGTGGGCATAAAATATTTCTGATGTTCCCTTTCTTCGGCCAGTAGTTAAGTTGTACTAAGCCAAACAACTTTGATCAATTTCTTTTATTGCAGTGTCTAAATCTATGGCATCGGCTGAATGTGCTCAAGAAATTATTTGGCCGAAATTCAGATTTTAAATGTTGTAAAAGCAACAAAAGATACATGATGTAGATATTAGAAGAACTGAATGATTTCCGGGGGGTGGGGGGGGTTCTATCTGCTAAAAAGGTTTGTCAACACTAATAGAAAAACAGATGTCAATTTTTTAATGTTCTGGCAATTGTAGAAATGCGGGGAGCATGACGTTGGCTCGATTTCTCTGATGTTGAGTTATACCTACTATCTTTCGTGGGTTTGGGGGGGGGAGGGGGTGGCGATGGTTTAATGTTTTTGCGGCTTTAAATATAAACACAGGCCAAAAAAAAACCAAGGATAGAAAAAAAAAGTCCGCCAAGTAGTCAGGACAAAAAAGCCCATTTTGTATTTCTAAACGATGGTGCTGGGAACATTTTGAAGCACCAAAATGTTATTTAGTATTACTTTTGCGAAAGGAAAGGCGTGAAAACTCACAAAATACTAGATTTTACACACAATCGAAAAGTGGAACCTTTCTTTTGATCGCCAGTTTAATAATATAATGGTAATTGCGCAAACAGCCCCTTGGGGTAAGAGATGTAGGATGGGGTGGGGGGGGGTGATGAGTTTTGTGGGGCAGGGAACGGAGTGACTTTTGTGGAGTGGGGTGGACGGGGTGAGTGTCATGGGGCAGGGGTAGGGGTGGGGACAGTAGTGTCTGGGCACCGTAACCCCCTCACCCCTCTCCTTCCTTATGGACGCCACTCCGTCACCCACCTTCGACCCCTCC